GTTGTTCTTATTTCACATATCATTTACAACATTGTTAAATAATGTCATCATCGTCGTCTTTGATAGATCTACCACGAGAAGTAATTTATTTAATTTTTCAATATCTTAATAAAGAACATATTGCTTATGCATTCTTTGGATTAAATAAATATTTTACATCAGCTGTAAAATATTTTATTGGTCAAGAACTTAATTTAACAAAAGTTCATAATGAAAAAATATTTCAATTTTGTTTATCAATTCTTTTACCATCAATTGGATGTAATCTTCAATGTTTATCAATTGGTTATCCATATACATTATCAACATATATTAAATATATTCAAAATTATTGTTCTAATTTGGATATACTTAATATTTATTGTTATTCAGATATAGAAGATATACGTTCTTATGTAACTTATTTAATACATCAACAATTAATGTCATTTATTTTAATGTATAATAATAAAATTATTGGTGAAGAATTAAGTATTCGTTTAATTAATAACTATGAAGATGAAGAATATCGTGCTATACCATTAACATCTTTTCTTATTTTAAATTTATCATCTATGAATGATTTAATTTTATTAAAACGATTTTCTGAAAGTAGTTATTTATCGAATGGTTTATATATGATTGAATGTTTATCAACTGGTGAATGGTTTACAGATGGTAAAGACGATTTATGTATTATGTCGAAAAAACTTCATCGTGATAGTATTTTTTCTATTAAACAAATTGATGTTGATCGATGTTCTCGAGAATATGAATTATATAATGAAGGAACTCAACGTCGTTTAACAGTTTTAATACCATATGAAGAAGGAGAACGTTGGATATCTTCATCAATTCTTTCGACACATCGAAAAGAATCTTCACATACATGTTCAAGTTTTACATTTGAAAAAATTGGAAATGATAATCAATTTTATATTCGACCATGTTATGCAAATGCTAGACGACTTCAAGTATCTGGTAAACGAATTATTGTATCTTTGTGTGATAATCAAAATACATTAAATCATTGTTTTAGACTTAATTATATATCATAAAGTTATTATTTATGTATAATTTCTTTTTTTTTTTTTATAGAATGAATCGATCTAATAAAAGAATATTTACATTTGACATAATATATATATTGATCAATTCGATAAGTAATAGTCAGATTATGTGTAATCACCAGATATTCATACTGTATAATTATTAGATTTTTGTTTTCTATCGATGTGAGTTTCTCACAGGTGATTTTTAATAACTATTCTTCATATGTTTTATCGTTATGAAAGTAAAGCACTTCCATGTGTTTCAATCCTACATCAGTATCATACTGAGAATTTAACATTTGAAAAAAATCAAATCGAATTAATCTGTTTTTTTACTACAATAAAAATTTGCTGATTGAAACTGTTCTTATAAACATCGGGTGTTTTTTTTGTTTTGTGTTATATCTCATAGATAGAATCATGCTGATTATTATCGTTCTTGGCAATTAATTCGAACTTTTTGACGTAACATAGCTCGAATGATAAGTTTTTTTTCACAATGTGCAGAATTAAAGCAACCCTAGAAAAAAAGCTTTATAAAGGGTTTTCTATCGAGAAGTAGTAAGTGTGTTCTCGAATGATTAATACAAATTAATTAACTATCGATTAATATTGCATAATGAACAAAAACACAACACTCTTATTGACCGTTAAAGATTTAATAACACTTACTTTGAAAAAAGTAAGTTATTCTACAACAATATCGAAAAACTCAATAAGATGAAAAATGATTATTCTGAAGAACGCTAGATGCCCTTATCTATTTGAAAATGATCAAACAAAAGTTCGATTCATTTTATTAGCCCCTAAAATATTTAGGGTAATCAAAAAAAAGTAATGACAAAGACAGTTTATTGCTGTATAGAAACATTAAATCTTCTCTTTCTATGTAGTAATAATAAAAACAATGTTTTATGTTTCTGTAATATTTGCTCAATCTTCAACTACTATCATAATAATAAAATTTTGGTACGAGCTGTTTGTTATGATATATGACGATAACATCAAATCATATGGTTGTCGATGTCTATTATTCTTTTGTTCTTGTCTTTGTGGATGTGCGTGTGGGTGTTTATTATACTCTTCTGTCGCACTCATATCTATACCCTAACCCACATCCATCCATAAAACGAGAAGAGCAAAAGTATAAATCATATTGAAAATAATATGGTCTGATGTTATCATCATATATCATAACAAACAGCTCTTATCGAAATTTTATTATTATGACATTAGTTAAAAAATCATCAAATATCACAGAAAGATAGAATATTGTTTTTACAAGCACTACATATAAAGAAAATATTTCCTCAAGCTTTCTATACG